ACATGTAAATCAGTTATGTGTATAATACGACTCTAGGTGCCAATGAAACCGCTTCTGTTGAAAAGAGGTAGAAGGGGTTAACCGTTTCCAACGTTTTGAATATCGCAAGGAGCATCTGCTTGAATTACCATGTACTCTTTGTTTTAATCCCCTTACTTTTTCTCATCACAGTTGTCCTACAGTTTTTGTCCTCGTTTTTTATTGATGTCTTGACCTTCCGCTAAAATTTGTGAGACCTTACTTTTCACCTTGCTGTTGATTTTTGTCCGACTTTGTATATACTCAGTTAGCGTTCATGCTCAATGAAAGGCTGAATCCCCTGTGATATTCCGTGACCAAAACTTTTCTGTTATGTCTGCTGACGATCCGATTACTCAGAAATACCCCTTTATTTTCCAGATTGACCTACATCATACCGCTCATGGTTGCTGCCATGGTAAGCAAATGGACCGGCGACCGACTCACTAACGGTAGCATCTACGAGGAGCACATTCATCTCAACGTATATCCTTACCTTAGCAGTCGCGACGAACTGACAACTATGTCAATCGCAGCTGATGTTATGCAACCCAGGTAAGCTTTCGCAGTTGCGCTATCCTCCTCTACACTAAACAAACTGGCCTCCCTTTCACCTGCGACTCCTTACCAGCTTTCTAATTAGCATATTTCTGTCGGTCTTGCCGCGTCTTCCTCCCAGTTTAATAATGCCCAATATGACTAAACTCGAGGTTCCCGATAGTACCCCGTAGCTCAGATGGCTGGAACGTTGGCTGTTCTATAGCCTCTATCTTGCTGTCGTGGGTTCGAGTCCCACCGAGGTCGCCTAGTTTTTTACAACTGCATCAAATGAATTATCTAAATCTGTCAACATTCCCTGTCAATTGATTGCGCTTGGTAGTCATCTAGTTAATTCTAGACTCCTTGCTTAGGAAATGCTGGTTGCCCTAAAGTCGTCCCCTTGCTGTCGTGGTTAAGCAGTCATTTGCTTTTCGGGAGCCTGTGTGGGGTTCTGTCCATGTTTAATTTTCTTTAAGCTTCCTCTTCACCTAAGAGACCGAGCATCTGACTGTTCGAGTCTTGCAAAAAAATGCTGGTAAGGCTCCAGACTTCTACATTCAAGCAAGTCATTTTAAGAAAGACATTAATTGGTCCTTGTCATTAATGTAGTCTTTTAACCTGTACTTACGTCCCAACATGGCATCCTATTCCAATATGGATTATTTAAGCACGTATGTAGGCGCTGATACGAAGAGTTGTCTGATAATTCGTCATGTTTTTGTAATTAGTATTCCACGTATCAATCGCACCCCCGTCACGGTATCTTATGGCGTATAAAACTATAAAGATTTATCCGAGTGATGCGTGTCTGATCTGGTTTGTTCAACCATATTTCGGCGTGCCCGCACGCGTTAAGGGAAATCCGGTCCATTAGCCTATGCAGCTAACTTAATAGGTATTGCTGGATACCTAAAACCGAATCAGTTGATTTATTGTCTCCATGCGTGTGGATTTTTGGAACTCTGACAGTATCTGTCTTCAATTAGTTATTTTCTACCCTTTTCCGAAAAGCAGGAACCGTCCTCTTTGAATGAGAGCCAACAAATCTACTTTCAGTTAGTCTAAATATCGGCGACCAACTAATTTCCATAGCTTTTCTCTACCATTTAGTATGACCGGGGCTTTGAACAATCCGAGCGCACCGCAATATGTAAAGTCAGTTTCTTCCAGCAGCCTTTATCAACTGCTCTCACGATCTGTCCTACTGTTTTAATGCAATTTATACACAGACTTCAGACAACGCCACTGCTTGTGGTCACTCAAAATTCCATGACTATCGGTGATCTTGAATACCTCCTCTCCTCCTCTACAATGCGTGGCTTCCCTGTCGTGGTCTCGGAGTCTTCTCAGTATCTTGTTGGCTGGATCACTCGCAGAGACCTTACGCGGGCCCTTGGTGAGCAACTTGTCCACTCTCCCTTTTAAAATTTGTCATCGCGAATCTCCATACTATTTGGTCTTATGGATCGTTCTCTTAATTTTATTCCAACTTCCGACTTTTTGTTGCAATTATTTTCGCTATCGTTTCCGCAATTGGCATGAACTTGATCTCCCAAAAGGACTAAAGGTTACCATGCTTTCAATTTACATTACTCTATATACGCGTTGTTCCATAATCGACCGGCAAAACCTACTAGCTAATGAGTTGGAAGTGCAGGCCCTTTCATTGGTTACTCGCTACTTCTATCGCTACCGAGCCTTGCGCACTTGTGTATTGAAAACTTGCCTTAACCCATTACCTCCCATAATTTTAACCACTTTGATTTTTGTTATGAAA